TGGCCTGCTGAATTATTGTAAATTCCAATTGGTCCAAAGGAATAAGAAGAGAATTTTTTGCTGTTACAGACTGCTTTTTACACACGGTGTACCTTAAAATCAGTAGCTAATGGATAATGTAGAATTTTATTTTATTTTCAGCTAAGCTAAGGTAGCTTGGTATTTTACTTATTTCAAATACTGATCACTCAGGAATTACCTTCTTTGAATCAGCATTTGTGAGGGCCCTGAAAAACAGTAAATAGAAATATTAAGAATAGGTTTAGGATTTTGTATTGATTTTTTTTTTTTTTTTATGCTGTGTATGGAATTATTTTCAGTCACCAGGTGAATTAGTGTGATCAGCAAGAGCAATGGTTCTAATTTGATTTCTGAATATTTGTGTTTTGTTAGGCAATTATGCCTTCTTGCTTAACCAGAGTTGTCAATATGGAAGAGCAGGGTATTATTTATTATAGCATTTTCTACATTGATAAGCACTTTCTACTTTAGGGATTTAAAAAGCTGTTAATGAACATAATGTAAAAGTATCCGAGAGGAGGTAGAATTTGCAATTCGTTGCTTTTCATAGTTAGGGAAACCAGAGCTCCAAAAGTGCACAAATAAACAGCTTGGATTTGTTCTAACAAAATTATGCATTCTCCAAGGATTTACAACCCCCCTATTGTTCTCCATAAGTATGAATATCATAAAATACAGATTTTTAATATTTTTTTTGCTATTAAATAAGCTGTTCAGTCTTCCCCCTCCCCACCCCCCCACCCCCCCCATAAAACACTTCCAGATAATGGTTATAAAGTGCTAAACAGGACTGTTTCAGGGCTTTGGTTTATATTATAGATCATGCTGGCCACTGTAGGGAATTTGTGTGAACTGTATTTACTCAACCATGTGCTCCCACTGTTGTGCATGTAATTTGTCCGTGTAGCGGGCCTAATACGGATTATACTCACATGCACCAGCCCACATTTAATTTTGCATCAGCCTGATTGATTGCTTATGTACAGATATCAACTGATGCATGACTCTGCGGGCAAATGGAGTGTGTAGATATGTGCATGTCTCTGACCACACAATTCACCACACATGCATGAGAAAAAAAACCTAATACATTATCACAGAGCTTTTGTAACAATTCAGAAATTTACCACTCAAAATACTATTAATACAGATTTTAACTTTTTGTGTGTTTCCTAGAGGCAGACTCGTTAACTCAGATGACAGTCACTATAGCTTTGCCAGCTATAATATGCTCTCATATTTGCTTTGCGTAAAAGGTATTAAGATGTTATCAGGAGCTGTCAGTGGATTCAGTGGATTCATATCTCCCCAGTTATGATGATAATTGTGCTGCCTGGGAGATCTGTGGGAAATGTTTCCTGCTGTGGGACAGAAGGAATTTGATTATATTTATCTTCCTGAGCTATCCTTTCCTATCAACTGTTGGCCTGATTCATATAAACACCAACACTTCTTTTTTTTTCTTTATTTGTCAAAACAGAAGTCAGGTTTCTGGAGGAAGTCTAGATGAAATGCTAGAGGTCCTAAAGATTTATAATTATTTTAAAACTATCTATCTCACTACTTAAAATATTTTTAAATATAGTATTGTGTTAGAGCTTGGTTGAAATCAACAACATACAAGCACAGTTTATCACGTCCACATCCTTTCAATCAACTTTCCAGCAGTGGGAATCATCCAGTGCTCCGAGGCTTATTCATATTCAGATATGCATGGCCAAACAATTAATACTGTTCGTTGTCCTTCTTTGCTAGCCAAGAACAGCATTGTCCAGGGCTTGGAGAATGTGGAAGCCGTGGAAGGAGGGGAAGCCCTGTTTGAATGCTATCTTTCCAAGCCCGAATGCTACAATTACAACTGGCTGATTGACGATGAACCTGCCAAAACTACAGAAAACACTGAGATGGTTTACTTTGAAGATGGACGCAGGCATCTTCTGCTGCTGAAGAACCTAACTCCACGGGACAGCTGCAGGGTGACTTTTATGTGCAGCGACGCGGTGACCTCAGCCTTCCTGACGGTGAAAGGTAACTGAAGCACTCGTGCATGGGGAGTCTTAAATTTCTGGTTGGAAGGGGCAAAGGAACCGGGAACATATGATGAGTAGCAGAGAGGAAAAGTTGCATCTGTTGCTTGCTTCTTGCCTAAATCTTCTTCCCACGCAATAAATGGGTGATGTTTGGCAACTTCTTTTTTCTCTTGTTCCATATGCCATGACGTGGATGTAAGCAGTAACAGTTGGCAATGAGTTAGCAGCAAATGACTGTCTTACAGTTATTATTCTGCTGAGCTGGGTTGTGTTTATAGGTACTTCAGGGCTTTAGAGATGAGAGTTATGTCAGCAATAATATTATCTCCGCATCCTTGTATTTTATGCTGTTACTGAGGGGATCGGAACCCATTTCAGAGTACAAGAACAGCCATCCTCAGTCATAGCATGGTATCTCCACTGTGGTTTTCTGCTACTTGGGAAAGACAAGCATTGCTAGGTGGGTTTTTGCTCCTGAGAGTTTTGGAATGTTTCAGTCCCCAACGATACCTCCTGTTCTAGTGATCTACATAACCTCCCTTTTAATGATCTCCTTGATCTCCAAGGCCTGACTGTCCAGAGCTTCAGCATAAATATTCACAAAACCTCTTGCTTGTATTTGTATTTGAACCGAGGGCTTCATTACCTATTTTTATCTACAGGATGGCGCCTACAAATCTTGCAGCCTCTGACAGATGTGGAAGTCTCTCTGGGGGAGAAAGCTACATTTAGCTGCGTTCTAAGTGAAGCTGTGCCAGTTACTGAAGTTGCCTGGTATAATAATGATGTAGAGATCCAGTCGGATGAGGACTGGGAGGTACAAGCAGATGGAAATAAATACAAACTTATTCTGAAAAAAGCCCAACCACATCATTCTGGAGAGGTGACCTTTGCTTCCAGGGAAGCAATTGCATCAGCAAAGTTATCTGTGATAGGTAAGTGTCTGTCGTTCTAGCCCAGCTTAAAATCTCAGATGTTGGTATTGAGCTACAACTTTGAATTTTCTAATCTTTGTACTGATTCTTTTCTCTTTGCCTTGCACATCCCAAGCTAGTGTTCTTAGTCTGAGAAGATGCTACTGGACAACTTGTTCTTTGACCAGAAATAGTCCACCTCATCTGAAGAAAATTATATCAGGCTGGGGAGAGTAGAAATGTTCACCAGCTTTCTTTATCTGCACTCTTTTGTAAAATGTAACAGAGTCTAACGGCAATCCATTTACTCAGAGTTCAACATCACGCTCAGCAAATGTGGATATGGAGGGAGCTGAACTGGAGTGCACATGAAAAAATTATCCAGGACAGCAGAGAACCCTTTGAAATCTGCTAATCTACTCAAGTGCAGGGCAACCAGTTTTCCAGATTAATCAGTTGCATATTAAAATCTTCTTGTGGGTGAGATCCATGAAACACATACCTTGTACTTCAGAGATACAAGAGTTAATCGCTCTTGGAGTACTTCACAAGTAGAAAAAATGATTGTTCCCCAATTCCCTCATGGGGCAGGTCAAACCAATAATTTGTCCATTCCAGCACCCAAGGTTTGGCTCCTGCCCACAGTGGAATAGGTGGATCACCCAGCAATGGTCATGCCAGCACAACCCCAGTGATGGTTATGAGATAATTGCAATGTGTTTTAGCTGTACATTGTAGTTGAGATGTTCAGGAGCCACTGATTGACCATCCATTCTTTAAATTATTATGGATAGTCTGCCTTTCTAATGATTTCTGAGACTTGAGAGATCTCCGATACATTTCAGTCATTTCCACAAAAGAAAAAAAAAAAAAAAAAAAAGTGTGTCGACAGATATAAAACAGTGTTATCTTATTTTGGACACCTACATTTTAAGAACTGCAAAATACTATCCTCATGAACTCCTCCTTTTGAGAGGTTTCATGTATGAAATTTGGCTGAAAATAGAGAAAAGAAGCTTTTATGTTATATTTGTGGTGTCCAGAATTAAAGAACAGGCTGTTGACTTGATTTGCCTTTAATTTGTTGCGTTGGTACATCATGGCAGGTCATTTACTTCATAAATGCCTTGAGCTTAAAGACTAAAATAATTATTTCTGTCTTCTAACTCCAAGCGTAAAGTAAGTCAGGAACGTTTTTCCAAGGTATTAAGTATGGTCAGCAGCAGCTGATCTGGTAGGACACCAGACCATTCCCATCATGTATTTATTTGTTATTGCCTGATGCTGTGACAAATATAGCAATTACACAGAAATTGAGTGTCTTTCTATTAAATTACTAGAGTTACTCTGTAGCCCAGCCATAACTTGATTTCCATTAAGACCAGACCTGAAATAAATATGATCAAGGCCCAAACATGCTTAAGTTTTCAGCTAAGTTCCGTGGTAATACGGACAGCGCAGGGTCACCTTTATTTTGAGGGGGGTAGGACAAAGCAGCAGGAAAAAATCACAATAATATGTGACATTAAGTATGTGAGATACAGTTGGAAAATGAAAGTTTGTCATCAGACAAAGGAGAACTCAGTGGTGCACAGGTATGTCTCACCGTCATGGGCACGTAGCCACTCACCTTTACAATAAGACAAATACTGAATCTGTTGTGCTTCCTTCTCAGTGCTTGTAGAAAGCTCTTGGTTGTTTTCCTATAAAGCATTATTGCTCATGTCACACATCATGGGACCTCTGTTGTGCCTTCAGCCCACCCTGAACCACCTGAAGAACCAGAAGTTTTAAGTAAGAACAGCCACTCTGTAACTCTGTCTTGGTACAAGCCATTGAGCGACGGTGGTTGTGACATCCTAGGCTACAACGTGGAGAAGAAAATCCCAGGTATTGGCTGGCAGTCATGCAACAAGGGCATTATTCAAAACACGGAGTTTATGGTGGACGATCTCACCCCGGGTGAACCCTACAGATTCCGTGTCTCAGCTATAAACAAAGTTGGGTCCAGCGAGCCGGTGCACTTCCCTCAGATGGTGCGGCTAGGTGAGAACGGAGAGATGCCCCCATGGAGGACTGCAAGCTTCTGTAGACTTTGTGTTTCGCATGGCATGCCTGCTTCACCTATTCCAGGCATCTCCTGGAAGAGTTCACTCTGTAACGTCTTTCAGTGCTTTGCTACCAACACATTAGAGGAGAAAGAGCTTGGAAAAATTGTTCTGGGCTGCTACGAACAAAACCTGCTGCGTTGTTAGTACTCAACACTTATTTTCTCCAAACTGCATCAAGCTGTCTTGCAGCCTGCACTGCATCCATGTGTTGTCCCATCACCATGAGTTTCTTTTCTGGTGGAGTTAGGATGAAATGAATCAAAAGGGGCATGTTGGAATGCGTTTGGGGTAACCAAGACCCTGATACCAATGCAGTGGGTGGGCAGTGTTGTCTTCTTCACCCATCTTTCTCTTTCATTATATTATTTGTGTATCTTTTTCAATAACTCCCCCCCCCCCCCCCAACACACCGTGTTCTGGTGTTTGTAAAAAACCCCCCCCCCCCCCCAAGAAACGCTGGAGGACACAGTTGCTTTGCTGTGTGCTGGGGAAACTTTGGAAGCTACAGTGGGCTAGAGAGCTACTCCCTCCATCTTTCTTTTCTTGCAACTCTTTCTGTGATAGCCAAGTGCCCAACAAATTCCTCCAAGTGAGAATAATATTTAAAAAATCCTCTTTTCCTTAAGACTCAGACATGCAATGATGTTTTTGCAACACGACAACTGCCAGTGCTGGATTCTGATAATTCTGCATATGCTGACTTTGTCTACAAAAAACCCAAGGCATTTTGGGCAGTGGTCCCCTCACTCCAGTGAAATGTGCAGAGGAGCAGATCATGCTCAGGAGTGTGATGCTTTTAGGAACTCAGCTGTGTGCTTTACATCCCAGTCAACATCTCTGCGTTCGATGCATTTGCCGTGACTTCATTTTGAGTATCGCTGTTGTACGAACAGCATGGCGTTGGCAGGTCTCCTTCCAAAGTAAAGAAGATACAGAGAATTTTTGTTTTTAAATTCTTCATACTTTTCGAGATTTACTCTTCCTAAGTCAGCGTAAATATATATATATAATTTTTTTTTTTACTTCAAGACTGGGATGAATACTGCTTTTAATAATCTCTTTTATTTTTTATTCTTTTTATTGTTTCTTTCTTGTCTCACTTCAGAACTGCTTCACTTCTAAACATTAAGATCTTCTAGAATCTGTAGGACTGCTTGAATACTGGTGATGGGTAAATGAAGATCAGCAAATAAACACAGGAATGTGAAAAATGCAACCACTTTTGCATGTATATATTTAAATGGAGCTGTTTTAACCGCTGGGAGAGCTTGTAAAGTTATCTTGATACTATCTTTGGAATTGCAAACTTTGAATGCTGCCAGTCTTTTTTTTTCCCTTTGGTTGTCTACAACAGCTAAAAATCTATCAATGAAGGATGAGATATTTGGAAATTTTACAGCGTAATCTTGAGTGCCTTAAAGCCAGATTATATGTTCTTTGTGTTAATTCACTTTTTTTGTAATTACAGAGGCTCCAGTTACAGTCACCCATCCTTTGGTGGGAGGATCAGTTTCAGAAGGGGAGGTGGCTCGCTTGGAGTGCAAATTATCAAGTGAAACTGAAGAGAAAGTCACATGGTTCAAAGGAAAAGAAGAAATACAAGCTGGAGGGAGATACGAGATCATCTCTGATGGAAAAAAGCAGATACTCATTATTCATGCATTTAAACCTGAAGATCAGGACACATATACCTGCATGGTTTCTCCAGAAGTCAAATCTGTTGCCAGCTTGTGTCTTGAAGGTACAGAGAGTATATTCCTGTGATGATAAATCAGTTCTGTTTGTGGACATCCAGGGGCATCTCCACAGCTTGGACTGGAATTAATTTTCTTTTACAAGCTGTGATAACAATCCACAAAGAATTGTTAGAGAATCATAGAGTCATGCAATTGTTTAGGTTGGAAAAGACCTTTAAGATCATCAAATCCAACCATCCAGCTCCAACTACTAAACCATGTCCCAAAGCACCACATCTACACGTCTTTTAAATACCTCCAGGGATGGTGACTGCACCACTTCCCTGGGCAGCCTGTTCCAGTGACTGACAACCCTTTTGGTGAAGAAATTTTTTCTAATATCCGATCTAAACCTCCCCTGGTGCAACTTGAAGCTGTTTCCTCTTGTCCTATCACTTGTTACTTCTCCTCCTGTTCGGTATTGCCCGGTATGTTTCTGAATCCCTAACAGCTTTGAGCTGCTCAGATAAGATTTTCCTGAGTGAGATATTTAAGGTGTGATACAGTTGTCTCTACATGGGTCCACACACAGGCATCGAGTGCCATTGAAGCACTTCAGGATATCACTCCTGGCCTCCATCTCCTTCTCCAGAGTGACCCAGAGCACTCGTAGGTCCTGTATTGTACCTGAGAGCTACATGTGGATGTCCCAGATAGCCTGGAGCATCTTAAATGGCACTGGGCACTATGCAGAGGCAAGTCAGTGTGTCCCAGAGGGTGAGTCACAACCTTCTGACTTAGACACATGTAAACTGAAGTATCTACATGCAGATACCTCCATACGAGGTGGGAGTCTCAGCTCCCATTACCACCAGTGGAGATCTATTCAAGCCAGTCAGTGAAGCCCTGTCTAGCTGTAAAATAGGATGAGCCTGGAATAGCTTTCCAGGCTCCACTGACAGTCTTAACCAGATGTTCATTGACTGCAACATTGAAAAAGGGCGGAAATTTATGTATGATTGGATGCAAATGTGCAAGGAAGAAAAAAATATATTGTTTGGCTTTGTTTTATGCACATACATAGAATCACAGGATAGTTGAGGTTGGAAAGAACCAGTCCACCCCCTGCTCAAAGCAAGGTCACCTAGAACAAGTTGCCTAGGACCACCTCCAGTTATATTAATTTCACATTTTGTTCTCAACATAATGGTTAGTTAAATGCCACTGGTAGTCTTCTGCCCAGGCTTTAGAATAACATTTCCATGTACTTTCTCAGAGCTTACTCACAGACTTTTAACATCTTATATCAATTTTATTCTCCTCAGTTCCCACAGTGACAATGCTAAAAGAGATTGCCAGGGAAGCTCCCTCTGCAAGGCAACCAGAAGAGGTGGTGGATGGCCATGTCCAGCCCAGTTTGCCCCCTGAGGCTGCTCAGGAGGGAGACCTTCATCTGCTGTGGGAAGCTCTGGCCAAGAAACGCCGGATGAGCCGGGAGCCCACCTTGGATTCCATCAGCGAGGTGCCTGAAGAGGACGAGAAGCTTCAGAAGTTGAGGAAGGAGGAAGCAGAGATGTCTCACTATTACTCAGAGGAGTACTCCACGTGTGATGAGTTGGCTAGGACAGGAGAAGCAGATTTCTCTTTCACAAGCTCAGATGATGAGTCTAGAGCTGGGACTCCTTCACTAGTGAACTACCTCAAGAAAGCTGGAAAGACAAGTGTCAGTGTTACTAGCAAGGCTCAGTCCATCTCCACGGGGAAATTATGGAAACAGTGGGAGAAATCCAGTGTGGAGACTGTTGTGACTGCCCCAGCTGCTAAGCCAGCTAAACCAGAAATACCAGATTTAGATGATCCTTCCATGAACCAGGCTGCTGTGAAGATCCAGGCTGCTTTCAAAGGCTACAAAGTCAGGAAAGAGATCAAACAACAAGAGTGCCCAGTGTTTACTGAGACCTTCAAAGATTTCTCTGGTGAGCCTGGAAGCACTCTCCACCTTGAGTGTGTGGCTCACAGCAAAACTGACATGAAAGTCCGTTGGCTGAAAGACGGAGAAGAGCTTTCAGATGGTCGCTACTATCACATAGACAATTACAGTGATGGGACCTGCTCTTTGATTATCACTGGCCTGGATATGAAAGATGCAGGTAAATACACCTGTGAGGCATCCAATAAATTTGGCAAGGTTTCACACACTGCTAAGGTGGTTGTTGGCACTCAGGAACCTCAAGTTGTTCGTAAGGAGAAGCAGGTTAAACAAAGCACTGACAGTGAGACAGAGAGCTCGTCTGGCAGTGAGATGGATGATGCTTTCCGTAAAGCAGGAAGGAGACTTCATAGACTCTTCAGGGCCAAGATCTCAACAGAGATATCTGATGTGGAGGAAGAGCTCTTTGTCAGTGCAGATGAAGGGGACATAGAGGTGGTCGACCATCAGACGTATCGTGAGGATGACCAGTATATCTACATCAAGTTTGAAATCTTGTCTGAGGCAAAAACTGCTGCCACTCGATTCAGAGAGATGTTTGGTGCTCTGGGAATTCCTGTGGAGATTGACATTTTGGAACAAGGCCCTAAAAAAATGGAATTGCGTATTGGGAAAGCAACACCACCCACCCATGGGAAGTTTGTGCCACCAGTAGTGAGACCTCCACCACCTTTGCTGACTTCTGATACAGGTAGGTGAAGCAAACCTGTTTATTCTTTGGAAAAGACAGCTGGAGCATGTCAGATGATTGTTATCTTTTCACTCACAAATAACTTCTAAAAAGCCTTTGTTTTTCATTTGGTGCAGATATTTTTCTGGAAACTTTGCACTTTCTGAAAAACAGATGAATTTTTTATTCTTTTTCATTTTGAGGGAGAGGAGAGAGGTTAGTGATGAAGGAAGGGGTTGCAAAGTATTAACTTATCTACAAAGCTGCTTTTCACAATAGAAAGGTCCCTTACTACAATAATATGGCCAGAAATGCTATGGTTATTATACTTAAATAAGTGAAACAGTTTTCAGAACAGTCCTGAGGGAGACAAGACATTTCATCAAGGAGAGGAACAGAAGCAATGTTCGCAGCTGTGGTATTGCAATGGTGTTATGGAATATCCTCATAGTGTTTGTCAAGGAGTGTCGTCTTGACTGTTTTTATAGAGAAAAGATCTCGCTCTGCAATTAAAAACCCTAGAAACCAGAAATCTTCAGGCACTGGGCAGCAGTGCTCTTAAAATACATCTTTTAACACAACCAAGTTTTTCCTTTCTTCTCTCCTAACTACCCTGACTTTAGCTCCCATGTTCATGACTGAGCTCCAAAACCAAGAGGTACAAGATGGATATCCAGTCAGCTTTGACTGCATTGTTGTTGGCAAACCGCTCCCCACGGTTCGCTGGTTCAAGGATGGCAAAGCCATTGAAGAAAATGATCATTACATGATCAACGAGGACCAGGAAGGGTGCCATCAGCTGATCATCACAGCTGTGGTCCCCACCGACATGGGTGTTTACCGTTGCCTTGCTGAAAACAACATGGGAGTTGCTTCAACCAAGGCTGAGCTTCGAGTGGACTGTAAGTCTCAAAATCATTGCAGAAAAAAACAAGAGAAGGGGTCATGCTGAGGAGTTGATAAATTTTTTTCGAGAAAAACACTATTTACTTTAAAAAAAAGTATGCATTGCCCACAAAACATTTCACTTGCAAACCTCTTTGGTTCAATTTGGTTTTGCTGACTCCAAGGCAAGGCTCAGAGCAAAGCTTTTCAGATAAAGGGGGGTGTTTTCCATAATCCAGGGACATCTGGGATCCTGCTGCACTAGCAGTGTGAAATCGACCTGCCAGTCACTCAAATTAGTAGGGAAAATGTAATTATGGTAAGAAAAACAGTTTCAAAGCTCAGATTCTAGAAAAACACTTCCTTTTCCATTTAATAGTGACCAGCACTGACTATGAGACAGCAGCAGATGCAACAGAGACATCTTCTTACTACAGTGCCAAAGAATATATTTCAAGGTAAAATACCGAACTCTAGCTCTTTCTAACTTCTGACTTGGTAAGATCAATATGCATATTTATGTCAAGCCTGGTTTTGCTATATCTAGCAGGGCCAGTTTAATGTCATAAAGGAACAGCCAGACCAGCTGAGATGCAATAACTGCAACAGCTGGACATTTATCATGTGCAAGCTCGCTCTGACTGCCTTCAGGCTAGTCTGGATATTTCTTTGTGGTATCATTCCATTACTTTTAATGTCATACAGTGCTGAATCTGTTGTCGTGATGACAAAACCCATGGACTGAATTAACCTAAAATAGGTGATTCTGATTCCTAACTCTTTTCTGGCTTGCTGATTTTTCTTCTTTCTAATTGCTTCTTAGCCGAGAACAGGAGGAATCTACTACTGAGGAGGAGCAATTGCCCCAGATCCTTGATGAGCTTCATGATATTCATGTGGCACCTGGAGCATCACTGGCTAAATTTCACCTGAAGGTGAAAGGTAAGGGGAGCCCACAGCGCTGTCAGTTGTTCCAGGTTTGCTGTCAGGTTGAGCTGCTGGACAAGGTTTTCCGATGTGCTCTTCTGCAGCTATGACCCCAGTGGTGCACCACTTTTGCACAAACCAGCTAGAAGAATGTGTCCCTGCTGATGAACACTGAGTTTTTGCAGCGGACTCAAGCAGATTGTCTCATTCTGTGTCCATGTCTTCAGGCATAATTACAGGCATATGCTTCTGAAAACTGAGTCCTGTAATTCTCTGAGCACAATTGTTATGGAGGAGCAAAAAGGAATAAAAAATGATCATGAGGGTGTCCTTTATTCTCTTTAATAAATGAAACAGTCCTGGACTTGCCTTTCTCTATGACAGGGTTGCTGCTACAACCTAAAAAATGCAAAATCATCCTCCTGATGTTGACTCTCTGTGGTAGGGAGAGGTAGGGATTCTCCTGTTTTCTCCAATTGCTGCCTATAAAAATGATGAGAACTGAGAACTGTTTTGGCTTCAACTTTTCTCTTTGTGTACTTTGCAAATCAGACCTAAGTGTTACCTTTCCAACCTGAAAGGCATTTGAACGTGCAACCAGTATGCCAGAAACTGAAGAGACAGGAAAGAACTTTAACAGATAAATAGAATTTCATGAATTTGCAGCCATCCCTAATTGGGTAAATCCTTGAAACAGCAGCCCTGGGCAGAGTTGAGGATTCCTTAGCTCCTGCTCAGAAGGATCTGCCTGTTTGGAGATGCTTCCAAACCGATGTTGCCAATGCATTCTGTTCTCCATGTCTGTAACTGCTCCTCGCAGGGTACCCGCAGCCTCGTCTCTACTGGTTCAAAAATGGACAGCCGCTAAAGGCCTCGGATCGCATCCTGAAGACTGATAAACAGGAATTCCACTCACTGGAAATTCGCGACGTCACCAAGGCAGATGCTGGCCAGTACTCAATATTTGTTATCAACTCTGCTGGTTCTGCATATTCGTCGGCCAGGCTGGTAGTCAAAGGTAGGTACTGGACTATTTTTGGCACCTGCTTTTCCCTATTCCAGTGGCTCTTTCCGTTTTATACAGTTATTTTTCTTGAGAAAGCCCACCAAGATAATGCAAGCGAGGTGCGGAAATCTGTAGATAAAAGATGACATGCTTTATATCTTGGTTTACCTGTAAATTTACTGTGTGTCCCAAAGATGAGACAGGTAACTTCTCTAGGGTCTGACTGTTGTCTCATAAACATACATTTTATTCCTGTCCAACCTGATTAATTTTAATGATTCATTTTATTAAAACTGAGGGCCTCTTATACATCACGCTAATATTTCTGTGTAATATCTCCTGCAAGGAGTAATCCCCTGGAGCTACTTTTTTTTTTTCTTTTCTTGAATTTATGGACAGAAAGGTATTTGTACTTGTCATTTTGTTTTTTCTCCTTGTGTTACAGATCCTGATGAGAAAGAAGAGCCATCAGAAACAGGTGAGAGAAGCCATAGCAGGTGATAGCAGAATCCCTAGGAATTTTTCAGTAGTCCAAACTCACACAGAAGGTGTCACTGTGTTTCATCAATAATGTCATTTTCAGATTCCCATGAGCAGCTGATACCACCAAGGTTCCTAGAAAGATTTACTAATAAAAAGGTGAAAAAAGGTGCAAGCATCACATTATCTGTAAAAGTTGAAGGTAAGTGCATAGATACCTTGCCTCTCTGCATAAAACTTAAATTGCATAACTTCTAGACTCTCTCTGGCCAAAGTCATTGTAACCTCATCTCCTGTATCTCAAGTCTGGGACTCTACTCCCAACTTTGTAAGACACTTTATGTGCTTTACAGAAGAGCATCTTACTCATCTTCACCTCCATTCCCCTGTATGTAAAAACAAGGATAATAACACTTACTAGTCTTATGAAGATGTGTTAACAGTTTTGGTTTTACAAAAAGGTTTAATGTCCTTAGGAGTGTGGAGTATAAAGGTTTATGTTCCTTTATTATATATTATGCCTGTTATTCTTGGAAAAGTATCAGGAAACAGATCAAAATAGCATTTATTCACAGCATTGCTCATAATTGTAAGGAAGGAACACCATTAGGAAAATTAAAGCTCATTGCATTGATTTTCCTTTAGGACATCCACCACCAACCATTACTTGGCTGAAAGAAGAGTCTCGGGAAGACATCCTGTGGATCAAACCAGACACTCCTGGGTATAAACTTGCCAGTTCAAATATGCATCACAGCCTAATCCTGTTGGATGTTAAAAAGAAGTACAGTGGAGCTTACACATGCATTGCTACCAACAAGGCTGGCCAGTCCATCTGCACCGCCACCCTAGAAGTTGCAGATGGTAAATCTTTCTTACAATCCAACACATTCTCTATGTTCCCTTTCATACAGTGCCTAAGAGAAAAACAAGCGTGACTGATAAGGAAATTAACCGTCACAACTGAAAAAAAAAAGCATTTTCCCAAGATTAGCCATGACTTTGCTTGCCTTGCAAATGATGATACTTTTTACTTGTATAATGATGTTTTAGATTTCTGACTCTACCTTAGGTTAAGAGTAGCATCTTTTCTATATAAACAGAAGACAAATCTGAAAAACAATCAAATTAGCCACAAAGAAAAAAGGAAGAAAGGCAGTGTAAAGTAACTAGAAAAAGTTTTTTAAATTATTCTGAGTGCTTCAGTCTACTAAGATATTTTGCATTGTAGAGTTGCCTTAATACTTCTAGAGTTATTTGATTCCCCTATTGCAGAGCTTTCCAGGGCATGTCCTGGCACGTTCCCTGCAGTAAGAGAGGGACAAGCAAATATAGGCTGGGAGTAGGGGCAGCACTGTGAAGGTTTTGGAAACATTTTTCTGTTATTCTTCCTTGCATCCCACATTTCTATTGTACTAAGAGCTACAGGAGCATAGATTGAGCAGTGTAGAGAAATGGGGTAATCATTCACCTGTGTGAACAAGGAGAGGAGCAAATTATTTTTATCATATGAGTGGGAGTATGTATCCGAGTTCAGGAGCTGCTAACACCGCAGATTCAGTATTCCAGTGTTCCCAGTAGTCCATGTCTAGAAAATGTGCCTACAGTAAATACATAAAAAGAACATTTTCTGCCTTCTGTCCTCTAATGATAAACCCTCATCTTGCAGTGAAAGAGGCTGAAGTTCTGACCCAGGAGCGTGTGATGGTGTCAGAAGCCATCATGACCACACTGGGGTAAGTGGTTGGCCACCCATGCTGGAGTGGAGCACTGCAGATATCATCCTGCAGAAGTTCCCATGGTTCGCTTTTAGGCAGTGTTTGCTTTGAACATCTTACATTCATGCCATGGCACCAGAGTTAAAATAGTTTGAGGGCCTAAGATGGAAAGTGCTATAAATACTCTAGCATCAATATCAGCCATTATACTTGATTATCAGGGAGGATAGGAAGAAGGACAAAAAAATAAAATAAAATTGAGTAGGTCATATAAAATTCTTGCTACCTTTTCATCTCCTAAGCAGAATGCCAAAAAAATTCACAGAGTCAAGGTCTGACTGTTACTTGCCAACATTGAAACACACTAATGCTTCACAGAAAAAGAAGTAGATGAAAAGGGTCTGCTCACAAACTTCTTGTTTATAAATGCACCTGAAGAATAACCTCCTCAATTTGCCATTCTTAGCTTGGATACTAGGCAGATACAGTCTGAAAAACATCATCCACCTGAACACACATTAGCTTCTAGAATATGTCTAGCCTAAAAGGCTTGGCCAGCCTTCCTCTGAAGTGTGAAGAAAGTGAAGAAAGCTGCAGTGTGAATTCAGCTATTCCACTGCAATCTCTCCCAAGGATGTGCCCAGGCTCTGTTGGGCATACTTAGTGATATATGGTTTATCATATATCAAACAGAGTGAGCTTCCTCTTGCTTCCTATGCACTAACAGAGAATTAGGGTGGATCAGCTTGTGCAATGAAACTTTATATCCTGCCTCCAAAAAGCACAGGAATAGCAGAGGTGTTGACTTCAGGATGTTAGAGTTTTGGCAGAACTGTAGTCTTAGGAAACACCACAAATGCTCTTCATCAGATGCAAGCAAATACTGGTAGCTCTTCATGTCTGTGAAGCCATTTTCACTCAGTGTTGACAATATAGTCTCCTGCCCCTTTCCTGCTGGCATGAATGAATTTGGTGCTGGTAGAAACTGTCAGTGTAGCAAGGCTCTCCTTGGACCTCAAAACCGCTGCAGTACCAGTAGTCAGCTCTCCTCGCCAACACACAGGCATCCTGATGTGATGGGAACAGATCTCTTGGCAGGACCACAGCATCTGCATATTCTCCAGTCCTTGGTTTCCTGATGAAACCACTGGAAATTGTTGAGCATTAGTTCACTGAAAACTGACTGAGACTACAGATCCCACTAGACATAATGTCTCCAACTGTAATAGTTTTATTTCAGTGCCAGCTGGGAGTAAAGTCTCAGTAGCACCAGGGAGATGGAGGCTGCTCTGTTCTGCAACCCACTCCCTGAGCAGCCAGGTCTTCTCAAGCAACAGTTTGAAATAAAAGTCAGGAATAAGGATAATTCTCAGATGGGATTTGGCTCAAAGACTAAGACACCCAAGTGTTTCTGTGCCCGTATGAGCCAGGTGCCCCAATTCTCATTTGTTTTCATGGCCCTGGAGGCTGTCGGCTACCAGCACCTGCAGTCCAAACCAGAGTCCTTACCTACATATTCCCAGCCTTCACACAGGAGGCAGAGAAGGAGGGCGTGTTTCTCATTTAGCTCTCCTTACTACACATTTTATTTTAACTTTTAACTCTGCTTTACTCTTTGTTTTTCAGAGCTATTCAACCCTCTGAAACAAGAGAAGGTAAGAGAAGCTATTTTCTCTCTCCGAATCTTGCCCTTCACATCTACAGCTGAGATTGTCTATGTGTTCCACGATTACCACCTACTTTTGTCCTGTTTTCGTGAAACTGTCTGAAATGTTGGAACTTTTCAGGACTGGTCTCTGTTCAAGGGTGAATTATTTGGATGAAATGTGAGCAAGCACAGTTTTAAAAACAGGGGAAGTGAAGAAAATTAAACCGTCCTCCCACAGAAGCTTTTGTTACTCAAAAAAGATGACTTTCCAACAACATTGCTTGCTTAACAGAAAATTCTTTTTTTCCAGGAGACCTTGAAGCTGGTGGAGAAGGTGTACCCAAAAGCCCTATTTCATTAGCTGATGTTGGCTCAGAAGAGTTCTTCCAGAAACTCACCTCGCGTATTTCAGAAATGGTATCTGCAAAAATAAGTCAGGGTAAGGAACCTGACAAATAGAATTTAATTAATGTAGAAAAATATGCAATCTTTTTTTAGGTATAATTTGGACTTTAAATGTCAGTGAGATTTATGAAGTAGGTTTTGTGACAATCATCCTACATAAGCATATGAACATTTGTAAATGTTTAGGACTAAGAAATTTTAGTAACAGTCCATCCAAACTGTATGTCTTAGTCTACAGTTTTGAACTAGAAAAAAAAAAGCTATTACAGTAAACTAAGATGACTAGTGTCCATTTTATGTATACAGTGTTTATTTAAATAAGCAGGAGTAAGTGTAAGCTTTAGAGTGGAGGTCAAATTGTAAAAATGGAAGTGTATTTTGAACATCTTAGGTGTTTTGAGTTCTTCAGCTATTCAGCACTCCTGAGTCTGAAAGCAATCCTGTTTTGAAGACTTCCAACGTCTTCAAGTTTTAGCGCACAATGGGATTTTAAAATCAAGTTGAGGCTGAAAACTGTGTGCGCAACTGTGCAGTAATCCAGTGATTTGTTGAATTAAATGAAAAATCCTAGTTTGTGCATCATATACTGATTATCTTGTAGTAAAATTTTATCTGAAGCAAAAATAGAGGCATTACCTCTCCTACAAATACTCTTGCAGTGCACTGGCAGTACATGTCGTAGGCATGCAATCTCATGTATTAAAACATCCCAATTATTTAATCCTAAATATCAATAGGAGGTCACACTAAATATTACAAATGCTCTCCTAGGGAATATTTGTTTTTATGAAATTGCAAATTATTACAGATTTGGTTCATGTTCAAATTGGAGATCTTTGTTTCACACTTCGCTCTTGCTCTGCATTTTAGCTACACTTCGAGTGCCAGGTGCAGAAAGTGATGATGAATCAAAAACTCCCTCTGCATCTCCTCGCCATGGACGATCCAGACCTTCATCCATTGCTCAGGAGTCTTCCTCTGAGTCTGAAGACGGGGATTCCAGAGGAGAGGTATGAGATCTTTATGGACATGTTTAACACAAGGAGAAAACTTAATGTAGAATAACTAATCTCCTATCGTTTAAGGGTCTCTATCCTCTTTTTTGTTAAGAAGTTCTTCATGAGAAAAATGAGAATTTTGTGAAAATTAGAACTTTTTTGGGTGCTCATTTCAAACACGTCCTTAAAAAAAATAGTTAAAGCTTTGGAAATGTAAACCTATTTTGACATTTTCAGGGCTGCTGTTTGTTTTGTCTTGGGAGAAAAATCGACCGTTTCATGGTGTAAATCCAGAACACCTCAGATAGTTTTGAAAATATGGCCTGAGCCTCCTAGAGATTTAATCTTCTGTTTGCAAAAAGCAAACAGTTATTCTCTTTGCTGTAGGAGGGCTGGAGAATAAAACATTAAGTATTTATGTTCTGCTGGTGTTACTGTACTCTGTTTTCAGAGCACAAAATAACTGTCGTTTCATGCCTGCAGATCTTTGACGTCTACATGGTCACAGCTGACTACGTGCCTGCTGCTCCTGACAAGGAGACCATCACTTTGAAGGAAGGCCAATATGTGGAAGTCCTTGATTCAGCTCATCCTCTGAAGTGGCTGGTCAGGACTAAACCCACAAAATCCAGCCCCTCTCGACAGGGTTGGGTATCTCCAGCCTATCTGGACAAGAAATTAAAGGTGACTGATTGTGCTGTGGGTTTTTTTCATGTAAAATTACTAGCTCCTGCTGCAATTTAGAGCCATCCCTTTTGCAAGGAGTGATGGATGAGGAAGTTGTGGAAGAGTTCTGTAACATGATTGGACTTTTTCATGTTTTGATTAGGCAGTATTTCTGTATGTATACAGGGGTGCCTGGGTTTGAAAGACCTAATCATCCTCCAGCAAAAAAGAAATTTCACCCTAGTTTAGGAATTCTTGAAAGGGATTGTGAACACGCAAGGGATATTCCTCAGTCATTGATAAAAGCACTGTTAACTTAAAAGAATAATGTTTCTTTTTTCTTGTATTTTAGTTGTCACCAGAGTGGGGAACAACAGAAGCTCCCGAGTTCCCTGGAGAGTTTGTTTCTGAAGATGAATATAAAAGGAAGCTGAGGTGAGCTTGTGTCATTTGGTATTTGCACCTGTGAGTTTTCCTGCCTTTGAACTAACATAAATGTTGGCATTTAGGTCCCTCCTGTCGGAGTCACTGGTTTTGTTCTGCTGAGTCCTGCCACCTCCCCTTTCCTGGAATCAAGCAAACCCTTGATTCTCTCAGACTTGTAATTTGTGATCTTTGATTGGCTTTTGCCATTGATTTCACCCTAGGAAAATTCCAGGCAATCTAAATCATATTGGATGACTTGAAAGGCAGGTTTTACATAATGCAATTGTGGAAGCTCTTTGATTTCACAAAATCCTAGATTACCTCTGTACTTTGAGGTGTCCTGAATCTGAGGATGGTGTCTAAAGACGCAGTGAAAGCTCTCAACATTGCGTTACTCCCTCGCAGCGCAGCACACTACTGAGTGTGATCTCATGGAGGTATTTGCTTTCTTGATTGCATAAAGTAGCGTTGAAGTTGCTACTGTCTACTGTACATAGATCCTTATGTTGCTCACGGTCCGTTTTATCTGCCCTAACAGTAGATATCTGTAAGGTATCACTGCATGAGCAGGGTGTCTAAGTTCCTGTTTTGGTCAGGGGGATCTAGTCAACACGCTCCAGGAAGTCTGTTCCTCTGATCATATATTTCTGCTTTAGAGCCTAAAAGTCTCTCAGCATGTCAAGGATAATTGTGATGATTTTTCTGTGATTTCTTTTTGCCTATTGATTTTCTCTTCAGTGTTCTTATGCAAGAGCTGTTGATCTCAGAAGAGGATTACATTCAAGATCTACAGTTCCTCCAGACTCATCACCTTAAGTACACTGAGACCTGTCCCAATGTCCCAGGAGCTGTCGCCAGTCAGAGATCCACCATCTTCAGAAATATTGATGACATTGCTCGCTTCCATTCCAGGTGGGTGTTCCCATGTGCCTTCATTTGAGAACAAAGAGTGGCTCACATACCTGGTGTCAGAGCCACAGTAGCTTATTACTGTGAAGGATGTGGAGCACTGGCAGTGCTGAGCTTCAAGGGAATGGATCATCCTTTTGGGATGATAGATGATGGCATAGCTTAAGTCAGAGCACAGGGTTGGGACTTCCATAATAACCTTCAGAGCTTCAAACCTTCATATGTCCAGCTTATTTCTTACCCTTTTCAGTGAACTTAATTGAGAAACAGTGAATTATTATAAAAAGGTAGCATGGTCTTATAGGCACTTCAGTAGTGTCTTCATAGAGACACACATGAAGAAGAGTGTGGCCTGCAGGTCAAGGGAGGTTCTCCTCCTCCTCTACTCTGCCCTGGTGAGGCCACATCTGGAGTTCTGTGTCCAGTTCTGGGCTCCCCAGTTCAAGACAGACAGGGAACTACTGAAGAGAGTCCAGTGGAGGGCTGCGAGGGTGATGAGGGGACTGAAGTATCTCTTGTATGTGGAAAGGCTGAGAGAGCTGGGTCTGTTTAGCCTGGAGATGAGAAGACTCAGAGGGGATCTGATCAATACTTATAAACATTTAAAGGATGGATGTCTAGAGGAAGGGACCAGACTCTTTTCAGTGGTGCCCAGTGACAGGACAAGGGGCAATGGGCACAAACTGGAACTCAGGAAGTTCCATCTGAACATGAGGAAAAACTTCTTCACTTTGAGGGTGACCGAGCCCTGGAACAGGCTGCCCAGAGAGGTTGTGGAGTCTCCTTCTCTGGAGAGATTCAAACCCTGCCTGGTTGTGACCCTGTGCAACCTGCTAGAGGGGTTGGACCACAGGATCTCCAGAGGTCCCTTCCAACCCCAACCATTCTGTGATTCTGTGACATTAATCTAAAACTGATGCCAGCATCCATGCATTGAAAACACACCCAGCTGTAGCAGGCTGCCCAGGTACAACACCGTGGTACAATGCCTCTGCCTACTCCAAGAAAGGATTTACTGCAAATCTGCTGTTCACAGAGTGACTTCCCAAGGTCCAGGCTGAAATACTTCTACTTGCCAGGGAGAGGTGGTGTTGTACAATGTTTTATATGCCTTAGGCTTTCCATTGCTAAGGGGCCTCTTTTTGCACCTTGACACTCGCTCTCATCAGAAGGGATCGTTCTTATGCGAAGTCCCTGTCAACAGCATGAGGATCACAGTTTCTTCCCCATTTTCCTACCCTGTGGTCTTAATTTTTGGGTTACATTAGGTGGGGGGGTCAATAATACACATGCACAAAGCACCAGTGAGCATGCAGCATCTTTCCCAAGCAATGTGTTCTCCGATCAGTCCTGGTGGCACCATAAGCAGGAGCAACAGATAAGGAGTTTGAGCAGGTTGCGATTAAAAGTATATATTTACTCTGGGGAAATCATTATGGGGGCACCACTTTTGCAGTGGGGAGGACACTTATGTGGGACAACTGGCACTTTTCCTGGATGGGTCGTGAGAATAGATTTCCCTTCGCTTTCCCTCCCTCTTTTCCCTCTCCTTTTGTTTTTCCCCAAAAGTAACTTCAACTGCGAGAAGTGATGCATGTCATCAGCTAGTGACACGGCTAAAAATCTTTGTGCGTGTGAACCTGTCTCAACATCCTTCGTGAAGCAGAGTGGGGATCTGTTTCTTCACTCATGTGGATGGCTCGTTGATCCTTTAACTGACCTGTGAAAGGGTCAGACCTTTCCCAGGTCAGATAAAGACCTGGGAAAGGGTTAACTTCCCAACTTGAGCTAAGCCCTTGAAAGTCATCCCTACCTTCTTTGCAGGGCATTTCATATATTCAAGCTAAGAGGGGCAGCATCATGCTGGATGAAGAGGCATTGAGAAATTTAATACTAACGTGACAACATTCCTCATTTCCCCCAGTCATTTCCTTTAATCTGTGTTAACCTGAAATTGCCTGATTTACAAGTCTGGCTGCTGGGACCATGTTCGAGCCTCATTCCATCACCTTCTTCTCACATGTCCTTGTCTCCACAGTGTCTTCCTCCGAGGCTTGCAGAAATGTGACACTGATGATGACGTGGCCATGTGCTTTATCAAGCACGAAGCAGAGTTTAATAAGTACATCCAGTACCTGGTGGGGAGGGTACAGGCCGAGTCAATTGTTGTCAGCAAAGCTGTGCAGGATTTCTACAAGGTAAAACAGTAACCAAATCTGAACATGCATCCTGTAACTCACTGCATCAAGAAATGTAGTTATTAATCACAAATGTGATCCTGAAAAGAATTATTAAATATTTTTGTGGGAAATCATTGTTAAATATAATAAGTCTATATTCACTGTCTAGCTTTTCCTGGTCACACAGTCAATATGGGAATATATTTACATATGTTTATGCATTTATGAGTATTATAAAGATTATACAGATATGAATGTGGCTGTGATTATGTAATTGTAATTAAGGCATGTTTTAAGGGCCACCATATTATAAAACCAAACAAACTCACATAAAATGTTAGTACAGATAGGGAAATCCTGTTTCTCCTCTCCAGCTGCTCAGGATTGAAGTTCACTAGTGAAAACGCATACACAACACTCCAGATCCATGAGCACATGCATGTTTGTTGGATCCCTTGAGTAGCTCCTATGTCCATCCAATAGCCCTGCACAGATCCTGAGCACTTTTACCTTCTCCACGAATCTCCTACTCTGCAGCTAGTCCAGCCTGATGCTCGCTAAAAAACAAATGCACACATTTGCGCTCACCCCACATTCACAGATACCTCAAGTTATCAGCACAAACTCTCGGCCTCCCTGATGTCCATGCCTGGATCCTGGGTCTCCTACTCGCATCTAGTCCAGCTTGAAGTTTGCTGGTGAATTGCACACAGTTGCACCCACGTGCACCAGGTCGGTGGAAAGGATAAACATCCAGTTCAGTGGCTGATGTTCTAGCACCTTCCCACTCCAGGTGCCAGTGCCAACACCCTTACTCGCTCTGGTCACTGCCACTGCAAACACATGGACCACTCCCAACCGAGGTCTGGCACTGAGTTCACTTGCTCCTGCCATCCCACCCACCGAAAGCACCAATCTTTCCAGTCACACCATCTGGTTCTACAAGCTTTGGATCACATTTCGCCAGCATCAGTCCTGCACTGGAAAAGCAGACAAATTCATTATTTCAGACATCTTGCAGTCTAAAATGATAACTAGCCAGTAAAGGATGGGGTTACAGATGTCCAAAACATGGACTAGTAAGGTCCTGTAGATCTATCCAACTTTAGCTGAGTTTGGTCTATAAACCAGCATCATATGAGCATTTTCCAGGGAGTAATCTTTTCTATTGTTCTTTATAACAACCTTTCCTCATTCTTCTTATTTTTTATTTTTTTTTCAGAGATACACAGATGAAATTTTAACTAATGAAGATCCTTCACAGCCGCTTATCCCACCACTGCAGCACTACCTGGAAAAACCCATAAACAGGATCCAGCAGTATCAGACTATAATCAAGGTGAAGAGCTTTTGTTACACACGTGTATCTGATAGGTCTATGTTCTGTTTTGTGCAGCTTGTGTAGAAAAAGACTTTATTTTTATTTCATATTTCTTGGCTTCCTTCTGATGCAACTACAATTGAAAGCTGCTTGAGTAAGACAGTAATGATCACCAGTGATGGTGCTCTCTAAATAGTTTTGTAAACGTAAATCCAGGTAGAGGTTCACAGTTTCTAACCCCAAAAAGTTCAGCAAGGTTTATCTGAGTGATCTTTAAATATATGCATATCCATATATTAAAAAAATATGCTTATATACATATATATATGAATACACGTATGTATATAACCATGACAAGTATGAATTTGCTTCACATTCAGCAACAGGTATGTTATAAAAAAAAGCAGTTTCCAATGTGTAAGATATTGGCTTATCACTTTCTTTCCCTGTATATTATACTGATGTTACAGTAAGTTGAAATATTTGTATTCTGAAAAGCTTTGCCCCATTCTGCCATCCTGAAATGTTTCATCTTTCAAGCTTTCATCTATCCTACTATCTCAGGTTCTAGCCCAGACCACAAACAAACATTTCAAAGTAGCATTTTATACAGTATTTTACATAGGAACTAGCACTAGGATATCCAGGAAGAAGACAATCATGCCAAAATATTTTTGTATTCTAGTGTTACACAAGTAAGCAGTTTGAATAGTTTGAAGAACATTAAGTTTCTAATTTTGAGCACATGCCTGCACACAAACATCAACGTTTTTAAGGGTCTCTTGGAAGAGAAGAGCAAGCATGGGCACTTTCCATGCCTTCATAGCTAAAAAAGAGGAATAGGAACAAACGTGAGAAGAACAGGATAACTGCCATTTTGTATTTTTTCCAACCTCTCATTTTATTAACCTAATATTGACTCTTAGTTTAGCACTGGCACATGAATTCACACGAATTGCTTGCCTCGTGGTATCATCAGGGTGAGCACAAGAGAAATGCAATGGATACATTTAGGATTGCTTTGGGGTTTTTTTTTTGGTTCCCTGGAGCATATCTGATATTGCTTCAACTTTGTCTTTGTTTAACATCAATTGTTGTAAGGAAAAGCCAGACTGGTTAGTCATTAAGGCTACAGAATGTGTAGGAAAGAAGAGCCTTTAGTAGCTAAGCAGCACATCGTGAAAGAACGGGATAAAAGTTGCTCAGATGAAAGAGCTGGAACAGACATTGAGAAACTCTCTGGCTGTCAAGGATTTATTTTTTTTTTTCCCTGACTGCCTAGTAACATTTTCTTCATTTATCTACAGGAATTAATCCGAAACAAAGCAAGAAGCAGCCAAAACTGCACTTTGCTGGAGCAGGCTTATGCTATTGTGTCTGCGCTCACCCGAAGAGCAGAAAACAACCTCCATGTCTCACTCATTGAGAATTATCCGGGCACCTTGGAAAGCCTTGGTGAACCCATCCGACAGGTAACTCGAATTTCTCAGTCAGTGTTAGTGCTATGCATGCCTTCACTAGGTTCTAAGTAGCCTTAGGTCCTACGAGAAGCTCCTTTAGAAAACATATCTGAAAGAGACTATTTGCTTATTGCCTTTCTTACTGTTCAGAGAGATGGGTCTCCTGGCTTGATGAAGGTTTGAAGCACCAGAGAATAGATGTTTATGGAGCAATTCACACATAATATAGTATTTGCCTTTCCAACCTGCTCATCAAACAGTAACAGATTTGTTCTGGGCCCCTAGATGATTTTAAAGCATTTTGTTTTTTCCTACTCCTCTCATTACTGGCAAGCTACGTGGACCGACTCCTGAAATTACTGGTATCAGTGGGTTTTCCTGTAGATTCCTCAAGGGTTAGAAGCTCACTGGGCCTTTCCAATCTACATTCTTTCATTTCATAGAATCATAGAATCATGGAATGGTTTGGGTGGGAAGGGACCTCAAAGATCATCCAGTTGCAACCCCCTGCCATGGGCAGGGACACCCTCCACTAGACCAGGTTGCCCAAAGCCTCATCCAATGTGGCCTTAAACACTTCCGGGGATTTGGAACATTTCGCACAGTTCTTTCGAAAAGCCTAGTTTGCTGGGATGTTGGAACAAGGTAGCATATATACGTTGGATATGGTCCATGTGAAAACATTAGATCAATTTATGGATGTTCTCCCATGACTGTTCATACATCTTCAGAAGACCTGCATGATCTTCCAGATGTCTTTCATGAAACAGATGTGTGTTTTAGGAGCACAGAGGACAGGTCACCCAGCTATTGGGACACTAGTCTAGGACTTTCAACATCTTTACTCAAATTCCTGTTTCTTTGTAGACTTACTGTGTCATGTTGGGCAAGTCATTTACTCTGCCTGTTTGTACCCTATGACTTGCATGGGAATTACAGTGTATTGGTGAGTGAAGTTGTAAGGCTAAATTATAGTGATCGTGAGATACTCTGGTGGGGATTCATCTATCTACATTTAGACATAAAAAAAAAAAAAAGAAAAAAAGAAGAGTCCAGTGAACCACACCCCAAGAGCACTTACTTCTCCCTAATGATGCCAGGGGGAACCCATGTCTTGAACTGAGGTATGTGAAATTAATGTCCTGCTCTGGTAAGGAGACCAAGTGAGCAGATAAAGTGTCTACATAACACACCGGATATAATTTTCCATTATCATCAGCTTGACAAGAGCTCTGTATTTTTCTGGCAACAAAAAATACCATTTAAAGGTCAAAGTAATGACAATCACTGTGTGCACCCCTGTTGGTGCTGTCAGTCTGATGTGTCACCTTGAGCATTAGAAATGATCTGCTGTGCTGGAATAAAACAGAGATGCATAAGATGATGAAGTAACAGTAAACATTTGTTATCTGTTCACTGAAAAATCATGATGAGATATCATCATGGTAATTTTTCCAGAGTTATCATTATGTGCTTTTCCTTTTTTTTTCCTATCAGGGCCACTTCATTGTGTGGGAAGGAGCTCCAGGAGCTAGAATGGCATGGAAAGGACACAAAAGACATGTCTTCCTCTTCAAAAATTATATTGTGATCTGCAAACCAAAGCGAGACACAAAGACAGACACCTACAGTTACATCTTCAAGAACATCATGAAGGTCTGATCATTATATCCTCACCTAGAGCATTTCTCTGTCATTGAGAACTTCAAGTTTATATCCAGGTTCTGGTTATCTGATTGGACATTTCATTAATCCTTTTGAGCTATTCCTTTGTTTCTGAAAGTCTTTGAAGCACAAGTAGAATCTTTGTCTATCCCAAAATCTGTTAAACCGGTCAGAAACATGTCAGAAATCATCACAAGCATGGGAGGATTTTTACCATGCAGCAGTGACATTACATGTACAAGTGTTTATTCATCTCTGTTACCTCACTGAGTTAACTGCATAAGTATGTGCTATTGATGTGAATTTCGCTGTCTATAGTATTTGCTAGTATTTGTAGATCTTTGGTTTTGGCAGTCTGCAATGTTGGTAGTAAATTGGAGGAAATGCTGTTTTAGTCATGTGCTACGCTCCCAGTGTTTATCTCTGCTGGTTATGTCCTTTCCTGACACCAATTCCTGTTAAGAAATGAAAAATTCAGAGGATTTGACCAGCTCATCTTCAGACATTCAGGGCTTAGGTTAAAACTGCAGAAAGTTTTCCCAAGGCAGTAGATGCTCAACTCCAATAAAAACCAACCAACAAAAAACCACATGGAGTTCTTGATCAAGCCCAGTCACGGTTTTCTGAAAGTCCTTATCTCTATCCTCATTGATACTCATAGACAGATTTTATTTTTCAAGAAAAAAAAAACCACAACGGGATGCTTTGTCCATAGAGTGCCTGCTCTGTAATTTATTTTCGTGTTGTCCCTAATTGTGCTGATCCTGGGCCCAACGGTGCTGCACTGTAGGGGCAGTGTGACCCACCCTTGGGATACCTTTTAATGCTGGATGTTATTTTCCTGAAATTTGATAATTACTCCCAGGAAAACGTCTGTTTGGTAACCAGAAAGTCAAGCATACTGAGGAAAGGATTGCAAAGCGACCCTGATTGCTATTCAGCCAAAGCCATGTTGCATCACTCGTGCAATCTGAAAAATCTTTAAAAGTGGTGTAAATTATGCCTTTTGCTGTTGGAGCTTCTCATATAGCTTTAATTGGAATGGCACAACTCATGTCCACTGAAGAGGGTACAGACGGGCAGCAGGACTCTTGCTGGTGTTTAATAGTTGTTTCCATTTCAGATCTTGATGGAAGATGGTTCTGGTTCACAAAAGCTAGGTCCAGGTCTGAAATGTCCTAAACTCTGGGATTTCAGTTGGTGGAAAGGTTCTGGCTGAAATTCTGCCTAAAGAACACAGGATGTGTGTTTACTTTCTCGTCCTTCTGTCACGCAGCTGAACAACATAGACGTGAATGACCTTGTGGAAGGGGATGACCGGGCGTTTGAGATCTGGCATGAACGGGAAGACTTGGTCCGCAAGTACCTCCTTCAGGCACGTACAGTGAATATCAAGAACTCCTGGTTGAAGGACATTTGTGGCATACAGCAGCGGATCAGCGAGCCTGTCTGGAGTGAGTATGGCCCAAGACAGCCCAAAACTCCTAGTTTTTTCCTTGGGTGGTCTCCCTGATTCAGGAAGGAGATTAGCAGAAGAGGGAGAGAACACATTTAGGGTTATCTGCCACCTCTTAAAATGAACTAGGGTTGGAGGTTTTCCTTTAATCACATCACAGACTGCTCTAAGTATCAACTCGCATGACTGGACAGCAAGCAGTAAGCTTTAACTGGAATGGTTATAGCAGTGTTAGGACCTCCACCTGAGCTGGAGAAGGCAGCTTTATCAGGATGGGACAGTGGTGTTTGACTCTCTTCATTTACCATGAAGGGAGCCAAGACCGTACGTCACTAAAGTGATTAAGTTTACATGACAGAGGTCCCACAGGACCTGTATAGGTTTTTAAGCAATAGCAGAGCAGATGAGTAACTTTCTATTTACTCTTCAGTGTCCATGACCCACGTGTGGAAGATACAGGCTGATGAGCTGAGAAAAGCTGGCTGTCGCTGGCTGTTTCAGCTCATGTGGGTTGATCCTCCGTTGATGGAGGATCAGAGTCAGAGACTGAAGTAGTTGCTCAGTTCCCTGTCAATACATTTTTGTCAATAAGCAGAGGATGTTCTTTTCCAGCAAAATAGCCCAGAAAATGTGCATCAATGGAGAAGGGAAGCAAGTTATTGAAACTTATAAAAAACAAATTGCAGAGTTGGCACTAGAAATGTATTTTGTCTGGCAGGGATTGCAGAAGGGTAGATGACCACAGAATTTAGGCCCTGGCCCGCTGCATGAAGAGCATCACACTCCAGTGGGAAAAGAAGTCTCAGGACCTGACCCAGAGTCCTTCTCACATCAGTATAAAGCCCACTGTGACTTCGTTGGGTACCAAATCCTCCACTCAACTTCTGGCTTATATTGCTGTATCTGGGTACATGGGTTTGCTTTGAATCTTGTCACTCATGCTGCTTTGTCCTCACTGTCATTTGAGATTCCACCAATCTTCTACCCACAAAATTTAATTGCAGGGATATTATATCTTTATTGTCCAGGTACAAGCTAGAAATGGGGTACTTTACAGTGTATGGAAATTTGGCATCTTAAAGTGCCAGAACAGAGTTGGGTCAGGGTCTAAATACTGAAAATAAGTCTGGGAACTTTATTTTTATGCTTTTAATGAGGTGTTCTAATGAGGAAGACTATCAGAATAATTTTGCATAGTTTCATATGGTAGCAATTACTTAAAAGTCTCTTAAAGCATAGATTTTATTGTATGGAGACCAACAGAATACTAGTTTGGATATCAAGGGTACCTTTTAATTGGGGAATTATCTTAACTGTGACTGCTGTGTAGTGTCTGAATAATGGATGTGCTTATTAAAAACATGGCCTAAAATACTTCCAGATCAGCAATACATCCCCCCCTTTTTTTTTTATAGCCCATCTTTATAGCCAACAATAGACATTTGACAGACTGAATTTAGTCTCAGATAAGCAAGGACTGCGTGTCACCTGGCAAGTCATTAGCTGCTAAAATTTCCTGTTCAGCTTTCCATTCTCACAGGTTTCAAAAAAATTATGCCTATTCTCACCTTACTTTGCAGCAGCCATTCTATGGACAGAGCCCTCCTCCTCCAGACTAACATGCTTATTCTGATGTTTCAGTACCTCCAGACTTTGAGGAAGAACTGGCAGATTGTACAGCTGAGCTGGGAGAGACAGTCAAGCTGGCTTGCAAAGTTACGGGAGCTCCCAAGCCATCTGTCAGCTGGTACAAAGGTATGAGCAGCAGATCATGAAGTGCACCCTCCAAATTTGTTCTCCGTCTATCTTGTTTTGTGCTAATCGGTCAGTGGGTAATCTAAAAGCTGACCACCTAGAGATACCCAGGTCTAGTCTTGCAGTTAGCTACTAAACAACCCAAGTAACGTATATCTTCTCGTAAGCTATTATACCCTGCTTTTTCAGGTTTGCCTATTAGCCCATATGAATCCACATCTTGTGGCAGTTAGACAACTTCTAGTAAATTAACAACTTGTTTGAACTAGCTCAGATGTTTGCACAGGCAGCTGTGTGGGCACGCTCTTTTCCCCAGCATTACTGTATTGCAAAAGAAACAGCTTTGCTGTAAGGTCGTGCCTTGTAAAGATCTGTTCTGCGTGATTATGGTCACTTTGGAGGTGTTCCTTTGGCTAGCAAATCAGAGCTATAACTGCACAACACATACTCTGGGAGAATTTCACTTTTAAATGAGGATTGATGACGTATGAGGTCCCTCAACAGTGCTTTGCCCAGAGGATGTTTTGTAAAGAGTGGGAGGAAGATGAAGAGCTTATTCCTCAACTACCAACATCAGCTGCAATAAAGCAAACACAGCTTACAGTCCTTGCAAGCCAAAGAGCTGGATGAAGTTCCCAAGGAGAAAATCTAATTGATACTAAACTCTTTACAAAGACTTTTTTTCCCCCTTTAAGATGGAAAGCCTGTGGAGGTGGATCCCCATCACATTATAATAGAAGATCCCGATGGTTCCTGCACTTTGATCTTGGACAACCTAACAGGCGTTGACTCAGGACAGTACATATGCTTCGCTTCCAGTCCTGCTGGAAATGCCAGTACCTTAGGAAAGATACTTGTTCAAGGTAAATTGCTGCACAGATGCATTGTTTTAAAGGGGTCTGCTGTATAATACCTTAAACAGGTATATTAAGACATTCCAGAAGTTCTGTATAACATCTACTGGATAATACTTTAAAAAAAAAATAATGTATGGGTGCAGTCAATTGTTTTTAGGTCAAAAAAAAAAATAGTCTTTAGTGTCTTGTGTACAGACATCATGAGAATTATCTGGCCAGGGACACATCCTTCGTATCTGTTCATATTTCCAGCTTCTAGCTGCATTTATCCTTGTTTTGCAGTGCCACCAAGGTTTGTGAACAAAGTTAGAAATGCTTATTTTGTGGAGGGTGAAGATGCTCAGTTTACCTGTACTATTGAAGGAGCCCCTAGGCCTCAAATCAGGTCAGTTCTTCAAGTCACACTGGAACAAATCCTGTTTTCCCATTTTACATGGTCAGAAGAGTCTCCTGCCCTTTCTTTCCAGATTGTGACCCTTCTTCTCTGTGTCTTCCACCTTAAACCCACCCCAATGCTGGTTCTTTCCAATCCCAACATTCCTGAGATTCTCAGCAATTTATTCTAGCTAGCAACTGAAAAGAGGTACCTACAGATAATACTTGCCATAGGACTGTATCAAGTCTAATGCCCTGACAACATTTTACCATTCCTTTATCCTCCCTGTCTTACACTTGAATTTATTTTATTAGCAATCAGTCTTGGGTATTCAGACAAAAAGCTCAGCATAGCTTTGCATGATTAAAAGCCCTTTTTTTCCACATGAGATTTTTTGAGAAGAAGCTCATAAACCTGTGCTGTTTAGTATCCACGTGTGATCTACCCACCCATAGACCCATTTTCCAGGATCCAAACTTTTGCCTAATGGTTAACTCTTGAGCTGTTTCCCCACTGGTCTGATAGACGGGTTGGTGAGATGGAGAATTCTTGACACTGCATATTTTTTCCTGGCTTATACTCGGTGTTTTCCACATGCAGATGGTACAAAGATGGTATACTGTTGAAGGACACAAGTAAATATCAGACTTTCAGTGAACCACGGAGTGGCATAATAGTCCTGGTGGTCAAGAACCCTTCCAATGAAGATATGGGACACTATGAATGTGAAGTAAGTTCAGAGAGATTTAAAGATCTGCTGTCTGTCATGACATAAGTAGGAGAATTCATTTTACCAGGAGAGATCCATTGCATGAGAATAGTGGCTGAGTAATTGCTGACATATATCGAAAAGGTTTATACAAAGTCAGGTTCTCCTGAATGAGATCTGGATTGTGAACATCCAAAAGCTTCAGAATGTTCCAATCTGAGAGTTTGGTGGTTCAAATAATAATTGAGTGAGCTTGTTCTGTAGCTTAAATTCAGATCCAGATCTCTAGAGGCACCTCTCACAAATTTTAGGACCATTTTGATGTAACATTTTGTTTCTGGACCATCTTTAAATTAGAACAGATTCGTGCTGCTACAAAGAAACAATCCAAAGCCAAAAGAAGTAAATTAAATCTAAATGGAAGTGTAAACCACTGAAATTCCTGTTTATTTAGCAAGCATATGTAGAAGTAGCTAATAAATTAAAATAAATGTGCTTTAAAATATTTTCTAAAATTTAGTCATAGTCTATGCATTCATTGTAATAAAATAGTAATAAGCTGTCAGGGCTCAGCAATAAAAAGTTGACCTTGATTTAGGAAATTAGCATGGGTCAGCTGACCCATGGTGAACATCTCAGCTCACAGCAACTTCCCAGTTATTGCACAGAAATTTTTAGGAAATTTGATATAATTTAAAGACTTTACTAGAATTTTAGCAAAATCACATTACCTTGCATTTGCCATTAGTGAAGATCGCAAGGTCTGGTATTCCCTTGGCTGAGTAAGACTCACTTGATTAATGGATGATCAACAAAAAAACCTCTTTACCACTTAAACGCCATACACCAGGAATCTGTTCCTAATGGTAGAGACAGAGCTACCTCAGGACCAAGTCACAGGCTGCTGAGCAAACCGCAAATAACTAAGTTAGCTGACGTGTCATAACTTGTCTGTGCGACTTATTTGTGGTAAAGCATTATCATGAACTCCGCTGAGCAGCAATGTGTTCATTCAAAGTCTAGCTTTGGTTTGGGGTCACACTTTCATCCATTTCTCTTCTCACGTAATTGCAATGTATTTGTAATGTAGCATAGGAAGGTTTTATTATACAAAAACATCCTGCGCTTCATTCGGTACTGCATGATTCTCTTTAGCTGGTGAACAGATTAGGGTCTGCAAAAAGTGGAGCAGAACTTTACCACCACAGTGCTGCAGCCCTGACCCAGGAGAGGAGAGGAGATCAAGCCATTACCATAGAAGGTATGATCCTTGACCATCTCTGTAAGTATGTCAGTGAATTACTCTAAAACCATCTCATTGAGGATCGAATATATTTGCCATCTTATCCATGTTGATTGTTGGTGTACACGTATCTGTATGTCTATTGAGATGTGCATGGGTATACTGCAGCTCAGCTCTATACCCATCACCATCTGTTGATTTCCAAACCTGGCAAATCAACTTCATCATATAATGCTCATAAATGCATTATATGAAAAAGGAGGAGCAAATGAAGGGTATGTCACACCACCACTAGTGCAAGAAAAATGTTTCTACTCCTGTTAGAATACTTGAAAACATGTGTCAGCCTGGCAGAACATGAGTTACGTACTGCTGAGAAAAACCAGGGGCCAATAAGCAAAGCTGCAGCTATATTGTGATCGTTTCTGAAATACCACTGAAGACCATCTGGAACGACTGAGGAAGCAGAACTGACAGCTGTATATCCTGAGCAATATTAGATTACTCATTATCTAGGATTGTTCAGGTATTGCACACCACATCATAGTCATAGTCTATTCCCTTTTTTTCTGCATGTTTCACCTGAATTGGTAGGGTGCTATGGACTGATTTTATACCCATCAACAATGTGTCTCTCTTAACACCTCTAGGATGCAACTGCCTAAATTTATCTTCTTATCAAAGGGATTTCCACAAGCAATGTGTTAGACGGGCTTGCTATAAGCCCATCACAACTGAGTTTAAATCAGTGGCTACATCAACGTAAGGAACATTTCCTGGTATAGGAAATTGGTTATTTGTAGATCTTAGAAGTGTCCTTGGCTGGCTGAGCATGGGCCAGCCAGCGCTGCCTCTCTCAAACAGTTCCCAGCAGCAGTTACGGAGATAATATAGCCAAGGGACCATTTATAATAGATGGATTACTGTTTCTGAGGGTAAGATAGAGGACTAAGATAAGCATAGGCCATTCCATGGTGGTGACCCTTGGTGTCAGAGAGCTGTCCCAGATGTGGTTAGTGGAGACACAGCCAACAAAAGCCAGAGGTTTGCCAACAGCTGTAGGACCTTTTTTCCTCATCTTCAGTGTTTTCACATTTTCTTGCGATAATAACAGGGGTCCAAGTGTGCTTTTGACAGGGGATAATTTTTATTATCAACATTCAAGTGAGAGCCATCAAATACAAAGGCATTCTGACTCAAGAAGCTGCTGCACAGCAAATGACTGGAGTCTAGAGAAAAAATCAGGGAAAATGGTGCTCCACTTGTATTTTTTTCATCATTTTCCATAGGCCTCTGCTGTTGGCCCTGTCTGAGACAGGGTCCTGGTCTGGATGGACCTTTGGGCCAGTCCTCTGTAGACACTAATGCATTATTACATTAAGAGGATTCAGACACAATAGGCTATTAAGATTAGTATCCTGATCTATGTACTTGCTTGTCTTGTTTTTATGCTTGCTTTCCTTGTAGTCCTTTCCCAGAGTACCATCAAATCATTCAAAAGCATTGCAGGGAGAATGGTGTTAGTATAGCAACACTATAATTGTGTCAGCAGGAGAAACCTTGAAGTACTTGAATGCTTTGTCCTTGCTATGCTCTTCTTAGGAAGAGAAAACGCAGTTGTATGCAGGATGTAGAGGAACACAAACAAATCACTGTTAGGGTGGCGTTCCTTGATGAAGTTCCCTTGTACCAAGACAGAAGATGTTACATAAACGAACAAGGACTGTAAAACAATGGTAGGAGTATTGTTCAGCTCTTGGGGTTGCAAATGTGTACGTTCAGCCCCAAATTACTCATGTGCTGTTATTCCTGCAGTCCTGAATAAAGAAATGTCATGAGTTTGGTTGAAGAAATATAATTGGAGTTGGCCTGGAATTTTCAGAAACGTTATGAAATCATTTTTGATCTGTGATTTGCAATTGTTTGAACTTGGTAATAGGGAAGGAAATAAATCCCTGAGTCACCTTCAGGGAGAAACAGAGAGAGCTGCTTCAGGCCAGTGGAGCAAGGAGCAGGTTCTTCCATGGAGCAAGAGGATTGTTCTGAGCAGAATCGCATCAGGGATGCATTTGGCATGATGCACTTGACCAAGGAGGGAATTTGTTGCTTTCTTGAGAATCAATAACCAGCCTTGATCTACCTATGGAAAAATCAGGTTCACCTGGCAAAGAACTGGAGGACAGATGGATCTCATGAAGGCTTTCTCTTTCCATCCTTACACTCCTTTCTATTTGTGAAAATGGGATTATTTGTAACTTCAGCAAGAGGACAACATTACTGCTGTGTGGTACTGTTACAACAGAAGATAGATGCTATGTCTGTTTCCTAGCTCACCTGTATGGTGGGTCTAAGTTTTATCTGATTTATCGTTGGTTCTGAGAAATTACTATTGTCAGAGTCTTCTGAGGCACCCGAGGGGCTTTAGTTGCAACCATCACAGTTTTTATCCTCCTGCCTTTCTGTACTGTTTATTATACCGAAGCAAACCTTCTGTCACAATTTGGGATACCTTTAGTACAGTGGTTTACGAGCTCTGACCTGCAGTCAGTGATGGTCCGCAGTCCAGCTCCATGGGTCTCGAAACCAAACTTTTTGTCATTAGGTTTAAATTCACACGATGGGAATTTGCTGATCCATTGGAAGGACCAAATCCAAAAAGGGTGGAAACCACTGGACTAAGGGGTTCCCTTGCGAGCACCCACAGCTTGGGCTGCAAGCCTGAAACGCTGAGATCTGCCTTCAGCCACACCTGATCACTGCAATGAAGTCAGTGCAGAGTCGCTTTTAAAAAAAAATCCTTTTTCTGTGGGTATTGGAAGAATTTTAGACACAAAAAAAGTGTAACCAAAAGAAGATCCTTCTCTTTGACTTCAAGTTGACTGCCTGCTTTGCACCTTGCTGCTTAACCTACGCACGGCAGGTCCGGGCTCCCTGGCATCCCTTTTTAACATGTTACTATTGCAATTCATTCATCCCAGGCTCACTAACTTGTTCGTTTGTTAAAAAAAAATAAAGCCCAGTGTTTTTGAAACATGTTGCATTCTCGCTTGGGCAGACAGGTCCAGTTGATTGTAGGGGAAGGGATCAGCTACACAAGTGGAGACAAACAAAAGCATAAAGCAAAACACCCAGTGCAGTGACAGCCAGGCAACAGGAATCTCTTCATAGTCTTGCCTTAGGTCTTATGCAGAGCTTTGGGCAAGTTATTTCGTTGCCTTGTTTGGTAACGCTCATTTGGCAGAGAAAAGCTAAAAATTGAGGCGCTCAGACTGAAGATTGCTTTAAAAAACAGAGGAGAGTGAGATGTCTTAGTGCCACCCTTGTGTTAAAAAAAAAAAAAAAAAAAGGGACATACGAGTTCGTGCCCCTGACCTTTGTGAAGTTCCCTGGTTGGGGTGATGGTTAGGATATTTATCTTGTTATTTTTATTCTGTTGTCATCATCGGTTAGTCTCATTTTTTGGCTGGTCTTCTGGTTTTCAGTGCAAATTCAAGTGAGCACAATCTGCCTTTCCAACCATCTCAGTCACTGCAGCAGTGGGTTGGTTTTTTTTAAGAGAGAATGCAAAACACTTGCACTTCATTCACACAATTTAGGCAACAGTGTTATGCCCATGAATTGTTCATTTCAATATTAACTTTAGCAGTTCATGTCAGATTTGTGCATCCCCTGTTGCAGATTCCTCTCCTAAGCATAGCAGAAGAGGGGTGAAAGCAGAGCAGTGCTCATGTACTGTGCAGGAAAAATAGATTTATGCTTCTGTGAGTAGAGAAAGCAGCCTCAAAGTTTGTAATAAAGGCCATAAGCCACCTTTCATCCATTCAGAGCAACAAGAACTGACTTATCCTAAATGTTTCATCACTTGTAAGTCAATGGTTTAATGTATTAACCAAAGAGGAGTCTACTCCTATAGAAGCACTGGCTGATCCTAATGCTTACAGCTTTTAACCTGCTTATCAGGGGCTCCTGCTTTGCAAAGCTGTTTTCCTAAAATGCTGTTGAACAAGTTGAAATGACAAATCCGGTGCTAAAATGGATGCAGAATATTTTCCTCTTGGAAAAAACAAAAAAAGAAAAAAAATTAAAAAGAAAAAAAGAAGAAACCCAATTTCTCTCATCCTACTTTCATGTGGTTCTATCCTTCGTATAGGATTGGCTAAATCCTCCCTCACACCTCCCATAGCACATATACAATTGATCTGTCGTGCTCTAAACTGCAAGTCATCAGGACCCATGTACTATATGACATTTACAACCTTCTCATCCCAGGCCTGCTGAATTTTTGAATCCCTTTGACATCTGCTACATATAGAAATACTGCAGTGATGTCATCTGGGAGGACTGCGAGAACAGATGTTAATAGAGTAAACATTAAAGAGACTTCCTCTTACAGACATTGAGGGGTTTCATTAAGTACATATTTAATTACCATATAAATACAGTTGTTAAAATAACTGTATAAAGCATCTATGTTTAGGTGTATAATCAAATTAATTAATTCCTATTTACATCAGAACTGATACTCTTGCTGTTTATGGATTAATCTCATATTATTAGATGAGATTTTCTGAAGGTTATGTAAAAATTCCACAATATTGATGTAAGGGTTTAAAAATTCAGTTAAAATTTCTAACATGGTTGCAAAAAATTGTTTGAACACTCAGTTTATCTTCCATCATTGTATAATTATCATATCACCATTTAAAATTAATATAAATTATTTTAAAAATATTAACTAAGGATAGGTAAACAGTTACATTGTAATTGTGTTCAGAGATAAACATTTGAAAAGAATTTTGCCCTTTACTTACCCAATAAGCTATAAATGCTAATTTCCAAACAGATTTTGTTTAAACCCACCTAATTCCGCAGTAACTCCTTTGACTCTGTTGGAAATTATTCCAGATTTCTACATTAATAAATGAGACAAGGCTCTGCAAAGAAAATATAGAGCTCTAGGTCAGCTATTAACATCAACATTTGCCCAAAATTCTTTTTCATTATGGTGGGATTTGTTG